CAGCAAAATGAGACTTAAACTTTTCATCCAGCGCTGTCAAGCTTTCAGCCAATCAAAACGTCGCCCTAGTCACCAGCGCATTCAAGCTCCCAATCGCATCCAAACTTTTCATTGGCACTTCCATAGGCACAATTAACGTCTCAATACTGGGATATTGCTTTGTCTCTGTCCATAAAAGGCACCCTCTAGTCAAGATCAGCTGCTGGACTGACTTGACCCGCAACTCCCCCCGAAACTCTCGACTTGCTCTCGTAGCGTTAAACCATAGGTAACTTGATGACTGTTTCATCTGGAGTCGTTTTGATAGCTCATATGTCCTCTCCCTTTCAGCAGTCAGGCCATGAGTATCAAAGCGACCTTTGGGTTCAGCAGTACCCAGTACCGAGAGAAACAAGAATCGGTATCGGAATATGAACTCAAGAAGAAGCATCATGTCAAGGTGCAACGAATCGTCATGACCACCGGGAGCGCGATGGGGGCTAGGGCAGCTGCTCCATATACCTTTGGCGCAACTCTGGTCGTTTACCTCTATCTGTTGCGCCAGAAGCGCATTCTCGAGCGCCAAAAGGTGCTCATAGAAGAGCTGCTCGTTGACCGGGGGGAAGTCAAACCTCGAGTGAGAATACGGGACGTTGTTGCTGGTGCCACTGTTGCTATCGTGTCTGGTCCAGTGACGGCTCTGTCTGGTGTTCCTCTAATGGAGAATGCTGTACATGCCGTGGGTGCTGCTGGTGCTACAGCCATAGCCAAGCATGGCTCAAAGAGGCAAAGAGCTAGCAGTGAGGCAACGACGGTAGTGGAAGGAGACAACAGCGTCCAAGCAGAGAAGAAGGACGATTTCAACATGAAGCTGGAAGGAATAAACGAGGTCGATATCCCTTCGTCCTCGCCTCCTTTGCCACCCGTCAAGGAAATACAAATGCAAGCGCAGTCAGCGACTCCTGACAAACAACCCGACCCGGATCAAAGCATCACCGTCAAGGGAGACCAAAATGAAGCCGTCGTAGAAGCCGTATCTCCACTCGACAAGGAAAACCAAGTTACTGTCGCCGTCGTTGAAGATACCATCAATCAGAAGAAGGAAGACAAAGAGGACATTTACAGGAGGAAAACTGAAGAATATCGGCAAGAAGTCTATCTAAACATCGCTGGGAAAGCAACAGCCAATCATGCGACGGCTGCCGGAAAGCTTCCAGCTAAGCATACTGTCAACGCTGCAGAAAAGACGACAGAAGGATGGAAGAAAGAGCGCGCTGCCACAGAAGAATGGAATGCGGAAAGAAATAAAAGGGGAGACAAGAATCGTACTCAGAAGGTGATCATGCTTGATCCCTCCAAGGGAGACAAGATTCACGACGACAATTTTGGAGAGAATATCCTCGATTCATTGCCCGAACTTACTAAGGCGTGACCTTTTACAGTCCGGTTCACTGCCCTTCTTCTTTGTTTGGTAGCTAAACAGGCTTTTTTCCTTGGGTCAACTGGTTATATTGAATCTTCCTTGTTCCTAAATAGTCGATTTCCATTACGCTAATATATGTACAGTAGTTGGAAATTGAGATTCGAAATTAATCGCTCCCAACTTGAATGACCCAGGCTAACGCTGCCCTCGCAAAATCTGCCATCCTCTCAAAGTTGAGCTTGTCAACAGTATCGCTAGTAGAATGATAATTGGGGTTGAGGTTTTCATCATTCGGGCCATATGATGCCAGGCACACTACTGGGTAGCCCAACGATGACCAGGAGTAGTGATCTGAACATCCATACTAGGAAACAGTCAGCAAAATGTCAAGGTGAAAATAAGTGATTCCAAGAAGGCTACTCACGCCACAAGTAGTGCTTCTAACGTCTGCACTGGGAATATACTCTTTGATGACTTTCAGCATATAGTCATGCATTCCGGCATTTGGATCGTCGAGTACGGTTATGGTACTGCTCCCTTGATACTCTGGTTGCCATCCAACCATCTCTAGGTTGAGAATTCCACGGACAGATCGATCCGCAGACTTGAACGCTCGGGCCATCTTTTGAGAACCAAGGAGTCCACCTTCTTCTCCAGCGTAAGCATGACCCTCGATTGGGTATCTATGAGGAAGTATCAGTACTTCTTCGGTCGGAGTTTGTGATGAAGGAGGAATAAATGGCTGATGCGTACTGTGCGTTCTTCTCAATCCATCCACTCTTGGAGAGAATGTTCATCACGTGTAACATGACCGCGGTACCAGAAGCATCATCGTCTGCACCAGGAGCACGGAAGTAAGCTAATGGGGATGTTGAGTCCAAATGACCTCCCAGGAGAATTGTAGGTCGTGATTCGTCTACCCCTGGAGGGCAAAGTCGCGCAACAACATTCGGTTGGTCGAAGGAGTTCTCAAATAAGCTAACAGTGCTGTTGCTTATGTGTTGGGACATATAGGACTGGATCCATTCGGAGGGTGCTGTAGTAGGTCGATAAAGAGTGGTTCAGTCGACTAGAAGCGAGTCAATCAAATCAATGCTAACCTCGAGCACGGCTGCTACGATAGTAGCGTGTCTTAAAAGACGTAGAAAGCTCGCTAACAATGTTCCGAAGCTCCTCTGCGGACACCATATCTACAGGCTTACTCATTGTCGTCCAAAGGAACCTCAAGTCCCATGAAGAGAAATATATCAATAACTTGCCACTGATTCT